AAGGATCTTCACTAGCGGAATACTCTTGTTTCGGAGTTTTTAATCCTTCGATCTAGAATTTGTACTAGACGTTCCTCCACACAAGGTTCTCTGTTAACTCAACATCCTCTACACTCAGAATATGGGAGGGATCACTTACCTACATTTCGTAGCAATGAGACATGGAACACATCATGCACCTTGTCCATACTAGGTGGAAGTGCCAATCTGTAGGCAACTTTACCCACTCGTTGCAATATTTCAAATGGACTATGAATCTCGGTGCAACTTCCCTTTGCTCCCGAAGCGTATTACTCGCTTGTAAGGGAAACTCTCAGAAATACTTTATCACCCACTTGAAATTCCACTTCTTTCCTCTTTAAATCGGCATAACTTTTCTGTCGATCTTGGGCTTGTTTCATTCTGTTCCTGATTAATCTTACATCCTCATCATCTTCTGAGTCATCTCTGGCCTAAGAGCGGTACGTAACTCATCTTTTTCACCGATCTCATCCCAATGTAGTGGAGACCTGCATCGTCTACCATACAAAGCCTCGTAAGGGCCATCTTAATCGTAGACTGATAATGTTTGTTGTAGGCAAACTCCACCAATGGTAACATTTCATGCCAGGACATTCTATAATCCATACAGCAAGCTCTCAGCATATCCTCAAGCACCTGATTTGTTCTGTGTTTGGCCATCTGTCTGAGGATGATAGGCAGTACTGAAGCCAAACGAGTACCAAATCTCTGTAAACTCACCCAAAAAGCTGAAACAAATTTGGAATCCCTGTCGACACTATGATCTTGGGTATACCATGCAACCTGACTATCTCTTTCACATAAATTTGAGCAACTGATCCGAGGTGGTACTCTCCTTTACTGGAAGAAAATGGGCGGACTTAGTTAATCTATCCACAATCACTCATATAGCATTATAACCTCTCTGTACCCTAGGGAGACCTGTGATGAAATCCATTGAAATACTCTCCCATTTCCATTCGGAATACTAAGTGGCTGAAGCAATCCTGACGGCCTTTGGTGTTCTGCTTTCACCTGTTGAACATATTAGACATTTAGCTACAAACTCTGCTATGTCTTTCTTCATACCTGGCCACCAATAGCCTCTCTTTACATCTTGGTACATCTTGGTTGCTCCAGGATGAGTAGTGTACGGTGTGTCATGAGCCTCTAAAAGATTCTCTTTTTCAACTCATTATTCGGAGGAATGCACAACCGTTCTGAAATAGAGGACACCATCAACTACGTGAACTCCACTGTCTTGCCCTCACAACTTGCTACACTACTTTCTGACACCACTCATCAGCACTTGTTTTTCTCTAATCCTCCAATAAAGTAGACTGAATCTCTAACATGGCAATCTTTCCCGGAATCACTTCGATTGCTCTCTGCAAAACTCTTCTATCAACCTTTCTGCGTAGTGAGCTGGGACAAATAAGCTTTTCTACTCAAGGCATCAGCTACTACGTGGCTTCCCTGGTTGATACTTGATCTCACACTCATAATCCTTAACCAGCTCTAACCACCTTCTCTGCTCATGTTCAGCTCCTTTTGAGTAAAGAAATACTTTAAACTCTTATAATCAGTGTAATGTTACTCTTGGCCCCATAAAGGTAATGCCTCCAAATCTTAATGCAAAGACACCGGCTGCCAACTTTAAGTCATGCGTAGGGTATCTTGTCTCATACTCTTTCAAACTTTGAATAGAACTGCGTTGGGCTAGTGTCAAACTACCAATCGGTGCACAAGGTGCTCCGGTGATCTCAAGTCTAAGGATCACAGCACCACCATTCGTTAGCGGATTTGTTCCATAGACACTGGGGTTACCATCCATATGGAATCGTCTGGTGGGTCGGTCCAGTGAACTTGCCTACAACAAGCACCTATGTGTTGCACCAGGTTGTCACCAAACAACCTTGACAAGTGAGATCAGTCGCTAACTTTCGACAGGGTCGTTCAACACTATGATAGCCTTACCGTATTATCTGTGCCTTTATTCAGATAAACTAGGGCTATGGACATTTAGAATGGCCACCATATGTGCTCATAGGGTTTCATTATCAAGATTTGAAACACTTGATACCCTCGTCACGGTTCTACCATTCTAAGGACATATATCAATACATACATAATGATTTACGCGATATAGAATAAAATGCCTTTTATTGATCAATGAACATTATTACAAAGAGTAATCCTACAATAATTGATTGGCTCTAGGGCACCTACTCTAACAATGATACCAGCAGGAACTTGATTTCAGTTTGAAGAAGAATGGGGATGCTCAGGGGATAGCATAGGTAGAAGAAGAATCTCAAGAATGAGGGGTGTTTGAATTTCTCGCTGGGTTCAATCGAGATTTGGGTGTGAAGGGAGAATATCTCTATCGGCGACCCCATCCTTTATTTTACGAAATGATTTTGGAAGTGACAAGAGAAGAAAGTAGGAGGAGAGTGATGATGAAGGATAATGCTAATGTGAGCCTACTGGGCCTGAAATTTTTGCCCTAATGACTTATGGCTTCTAGACACACGAAGGATACTTGTTGGGAAATCATGGGAAGCCTGCTGATTGGAAACCAAGGCAGAATAATAGAAATCCTGGCTATCTAGTTGCGAATGATAATTAGGCTGAGAAATCTTAAGAGGTGAATTGGAAAATCCACTTCAAGCAGAGCATTAGTCCTAAGCAGCTAGAGCAACTCTACAAAATTTTCTCCAGCCTCCAACCTTTGGGTTAGTTTCCACAAATGTTCTCTGCTTTGTTAGCCAAAAAAGGTAATTTTTTGAGTGCCTTAAGTACTACTCTCGCACTAAAATCCCTTCGATTATTAACTCCAGTGCTTCAGATCACATGATGATGCTTACCATTTGTTCTCCGCGTACTCACCTTGTGTGGTATCTTAAATTTAGAATTGAGATGGCTCTCTCATTTGTCGTAGGAAAAGGGAGTATTCGAATCACTGATCTATAACCCTTGAGTATGTTCTTCGTCCCAAATTTTCCTATAATTTATGTGCCATAGCCAGCTAACAAAAAGTTTAAATTGTTCAGCTAAATTCTTTTCCTTTATTGTGTTTTCCAGGACCTATCATCAGGGAAGACGATTGGCAGTGCTAAAGTGTGTGAGGGACTCTACTATTTTAAGGAGCCAATGTGAGTGAACAATGTCAATTGCAATTGTGGATTCGTATTTGTTCTAGGGATAGTGAAATTTTGTTATGACATTTAGATGGGTCATCTTAATTTTCAATATTTAAACATTTATTGCCTTCACTTTCTCGAATAAGAAGATATTAATTTCAATGTGAAATATGTGAATTTGCGAAACATCAATGTACCTCTTTTTCTAAATCTCAATATAAACCCCAATTGTTTACCGTGATTCATAGTAACTAAGGGGACCTTCTCATATTCCTAATACAACCGCACAAATGGTTTGTTACATTTATGATGATCAACTTGGGTTTTGGGTTATCTGTTGAAAGTTGATGTTGTACTGTATTTATTAATTTCCACTTCGTGATTCGAACACAAATCCAAATCCTTCGTATTGATAATGGTACAAAATATTTCAACACTATAAGGAAATTATCTTAAAAAAACTGGGATAATCCACCAAGTTCGTGTGTCGATACTCCTCAACAAAACGGGGTTGTCGAATGCAAAAATGGACATCTCCTTGAAGTGCTCGGGCCTTTATGTTTACTACAAACATGCCACAAATGTTATGGGGGGATGCCATTTTGACATCTCTATCTCATCAATAGAAGCCTAGCCGTGTTCTTTTTTCGAGACACCTCTTTAGAAACTCCAGACATTTTCCTACCTCTGCCTCAGCTCTAATCTATCTCTAAAAGGTTTGATTGTATTGCTTTTGTTCACATTCACTCTAACATTTTACCAAGTTAGATCCTAGAGCTACTAAGTGTGTTTCATTGGTTTCCCCTACTAAAAAAGGTTACAAGTGCTAGATCCATCTACCAAAAAGGTATTTGTTAGCCTCGATGTTCATTTTTTTTGAAAACACTCTTACTTCCAAAAGCCCTCTTTAGAGGGAGAATTTGAGTGAAGATTGTTTTTTAGACTTTGATCTCTCTCTTTCCAAGCTTAGCCCCAACACTTAGCCTGAGCTTGTCACACCATCTCATTTTAATATACCATCTACAGAAGAAAACTTGAACTCTGGGGAGGTGTAGGAAAATAAAATGACAAAGAGCCAATTGTTTATTCAAAGAGGTCAAACTTGAGGAATAGGGAGAATCTCACACATGAAGCACCAGAGAGACAGAACCAGTGATAGATCTGAATACTCACGAGTCTCCTCCCAACCAGGTAATTCTAAGTCTCTTGATTTACCTATGCCCTTAGAAAACAACCTTGGTCATGTACTCTTCATCCTGTTTCAAGATTCGTATATATAATACTCTGTTTATTAAGTTTCATGCTTTCACCTCTAACCTTGATAGTACAGAGTTTCCAAAGAATATTAGGAGGCCTTGAAAATTTCCAAATGGAGAGAGGCAGTAATGGAAGAAACGCGGGCACCGAAAAAAGAATGAAACTTGAGAGGTGGTTGTTTACCAAAAGGGAAGAAACCAATTGGCTAATAGGGGTGTTTACTATTAAATGCAAGGTTGATGGGATGATAGAATGGATAAGCTGCCTGGTTGCAAAGGGATTTATAGAAATCTATGGAATTGATTACACAGAGACGTTTGTATTGTGGCAAGCTGAATACAGTTAGGGTTCTCTTGTCTTAAGCCGCAATTTTGGATTGGCCTCTTTAGTAACTTGACATAAAGAATGCATTTCTGAGGGGAAAATTAGAAGAAGAAGTCTTTATGACAATACCACCAGGTTTTTTGTAAAGGGGGTGAAGAAAACGGGTGTGAACTCAAGAAGTCCCTTTCGATCTCAAACAATCACCAAGAGGCATGGTTGATAGATTCACAAGGTGATAAAGAATCAAGGATATCACCAGGGCAATAAGATCATACTATGTTTTTCCAGCAAACTGGAGATGGGAAGAAGACAATCTTAATTGTCTATGTCGATGACATAAACCTAACTGGGGATAATATAGTAGAAATGGAGAGACTGAAGAAAACTCTATCCACAGAGTTTGAAGTAAAAGACTTGGGACAAATACGATATTTCTTAGGAATGGACGTTGCTAGATCAAAAGAAGGTATTAGTGTTTCTCAATGAAAATATGTCCTTGATCTTCTTACCAAGACCGACATGCTTGGGTGTAAATTGAGTGACACACCGATTGAAGCAGGAAAAAGAACAGAAGATATCAAAAAACCAGTGGAAAGAGACAAATATCAGAGACTAGTTGGGAAGCTTATATACCTATCCCATACTAGACCTGACATTGCATTTGCAGTCAGTGTGGTAAGTCAACATATGCATTCACCAAAGGAAGCTCACTTAGAAGCTGTGTACAAGATTCTCAGATACCTTAAGGGCTCCTCGAGTAAAGGATTATTCTTTAAGAAGAATGCAAGCAAGGAAGTAGAAGTCTTTATTGATGCGGATTGGGTTGGTTCGATAGAAGATAGAAGATCTACCATCGAGTATTGCACCTTTGTATTTGGAAACTTAGTAACTTGGAGAAGCAAGAAACATAATGTAGTGGCTATAAGCAGTGTTGAAGCTGAGTTTCGACCAGTTGCACAAGGGATATGTGAAGTTTTGTGGCTAAGGAAACTCTTGGAAGAACTTTAGATCATAATAAAATATTCAGTCAAACTGTACTGTGATAGCAAAGCAGCCATCAACATTTCTCTCAATCTAGTTCAACATGATAGGACCAAGCATGTAGAAGTGGACAAACATTTCGTTAAGTAAAAAGTTGAAGATGGAATCATTTGTACGACCTATGTTCTATGAAGGAGCAAACTACAGATACCTTCACCAAAGGGCTTTTTCGGCAAAACTTCGATGATTTGATTTGCAAGTTGGATATTTACGATCCAACTTGAGGGGGAGTGTTGAAATCCCGTGAAATCTGGTGTAATTATTTTGGGATTACGATATCCTTTTAGGAGTTTTTTTCAACTATTAATTTAGGGTAGGAGATATTTCAGCTCTTAATTTAGTAGATTGTTAGCTTAATTTAGAAGATATCTGTTCATTTTTCATTTTCATTTTGTACTATAAATTAATCCCACTTCTTGTACAATTCATTCAAGAAATATAGAAATCATTCATTCTGATTACACTTAGAAACATGACCGAGCATTGATTTGTAATTGAAGCTAAGGGCTAACAAACTAGAGCTTTATCAACTCCTTTCCACACATGATATTCAAGATTAGGTTTTTGTTTAACATTTGATTAGTCAGAACAATGGATCAATCTTGATAGAAACAAAAGGACAAGGATATGGAATGAGACCTATAAGACGATTTTCAAGATCATGTTATCCAACGACACTTGTGACTTGCAAAATTTGTAATTTTCATAATTCATTAGCTTCGGTGAGACAGTCTACAAACATGTAGACAGCACAACTCGAGACATATAGTTGTTCATTTTCTCAAGGCCATTTGGACAATTAGAAAAAGATGAAGAAAAATCAGCCATTTTGTGGCGTGTGTTGGATTGGCTTTGATACCATAACAAGAGAAACTGAAGTGCAAAAATAACCCCTCAATGCTTGATTAATCTTTGATCTGTTACAACACTTAAATATAATAGAGTACCACAGCTCAAGGCACAAAATCAAGAAAAAAAAAAACAATTACAAAATGTGCTACAGTGTGTGAACAGTGGTCATATACAGAATAACAGACTTTTGAAAATTGACAAGCGGATTTGTTCCATAGACACTGGGGTACCATCCATATGGAATCGTCTGGTGGGTCGGTCCAGTGAACTTGCCTACAACAAGCACCTAGTGTTTGCACCAGGTTGTCACCAAACAACCTTGACAAGTGAGATCAGTCGCTACCTTTCGACAGGGTCGTTCAACACTATGATAGCCTTACCGTATATCTGTGCCTTTACTTCAGAATAATACTAGGGCTATGGATTTCTAGAATGGCCACATATGTGCTCATAGGGTTTCTATTATCAAGATTTGAAACACTTGATACCCTCGTCACGGTTCTACATTCTAAGGACATATATCAATACATACATAGATTTACGCGATATAGAATAAAATGCCTTTTATTGATCAATGAACATTATTACAAGAGTCAATCCTACAATAATGATGGCTCTAGGGCACCTACTCTAACAATGATATCCCTTTAGCAGGAACTTGATTTCAGTTTGAAGAAGAATGGGGATGCTCAGGGGATAGCACTAGGTAGAAGAAGAATCTCAAGAATGAGCGGGTGTTTGAATTTCTCGCTGGGTTCAATCGAGATTTGGGTGATGTAAGGGGAAATATTCTCTATCGGCGACCCCATCTCATTTTACGAAATGATTTTGGAAGTGACAAGAGAAGAAGTAGGAGGAGAGTGATGATGAAGGATAATGCTAATAGTGAGCCTACGGGCTGAAATTTTTGCCCTAATGACTTATGGGCTTCTAGACACAGAAGGATACTTGTTGGGAAATACATGGGAAGCCTGCGATTGGAAACAAGGCAGAATAATAGAATCCTGGCTATCTAGTTGCGATTGATAATTAGGCTGAGAAATCTTAAGAGGTGAATTGGAAAAATTCCACTTCAAGCAGAGCATTTAGTCCTAAGCAGCTAGAGCAACTCTACAAAATTTTCTCCAGCCTCCAACTTTGGGTTAGTTTCACACAATGTTTCCTCGCTTTGTTAGCCAAAAAGGTAATTTTTGAGTGCCTTAAGTACTACTTCTCGCACTAAAATCCCTTCGATTATTAACTCCAGTGCTTCAGATCACTGACTGATGCTTACCATTTGTTCTCCGCGGTACTCACCTTGTGTTGGTAATCTTAAATTTAGAATGCAGATGGCTCACTTCATTTGTCGTAGGAAAGGGAGTATTCGAATCACTGATTCTATAACCCTTGAGTATGTTTCATGTCCCAAATTTTTCCTATAATTTATTGTCCATTAGCCAGCTAAAAAAAGTCAAATGTTCAGCTAAATTCTTTTCCTTTTATTGTGTTTTCCGGACCTATCATCAGGGAAGACGATTGGCAGTGCTAAAGTGTGGTGGGGACTCTACTATTTTAGGAGGCCAAGTGAGTGAACAATGTCAAATTGCAATTTGTGATTCTGTATTTGTTTCTAGGGATAGTGAAATTTTGTTAGACATTTAGAATGGGTCATCTTAATTTTCAATATTTAAACATTTATTGCCTTCCACTTTCTCGATAGAAGATATTTAATTTTCAAGTGAAATATGTGAATTTGCGAAACACAATGTACTTTTTCTAAATCTCAATATAAACCCCAAATTGTTTACCGTGATTCATAGTAACTAATGGGACTTCTCATATTCCTAATCACAACCGCAAAAATGGTTTGTTACATTTATTGATGATCAACTTGGGTTTGTTGGGTTAATCTGTTGAAAGTTGATGTTCGTACTGTATTTATTAATTTCCACTTCGTGTTCGAACACAAATCCAAATCTTGTATTGATAATGGTACAAAATATTTAACACTATCTAAGGAAATTATCTTAAAAACATGGGATAATCCACCAAAGTTCGTGTGTCGATACTCCTCAACAAAACGGGGTTGCGAATGACAAATGGACATCTCTTGAAGTTGCTCGGGCCTTTATGTTTACTACAAACATGCCACAAAATGTTAGGGGGATGCCATTTTGACATCTATCTATCTCATCAATAGAATGCCTAGCCGTGTTCTTTTTCGAGACACCTCTTAGAAACTCCAGACATTTTTCTACCTTCGCCTCAGCTCTAATCTACTTAAAAGGTTTGATTGTATTGCTTTTGTTCACATTCACTCTTAACATTTTACCAAGTTAAGCCTAGAGCTACTAAGTGTGTTTCATGGTTATTCCCTACTAAAAAAGGTTACAAGTGCTATGATCCATCTACCAAAAAGGTATTTGTTAGCCTCGATGTTACATTTTTTTTGAAAACACTCCTTACTTCCAAAAGCCCTCTCTTTAGAGGGAGAATTTGAGTGAAGATTGTTTTAGACTTGATCTCTCTTTTCCAAGCTTAGCCCAAACACTTAGCCTGAGCTTGTCACACCATCTCATTTTAATATACATCTACAGAAGAAAACTTGAACTCTGGGGAGGTGTAGGAAAATAAATGACAAAGAGCCAATTGTTTATTCAAAGAGGTCAAACTTGAGGAATAGGGAGAATCTCACACATGAAGCACCAAGAGAGAAACAGTGATAGATCTGAATACTCACGAGTCTCCTCCCAAACCAGGTAATTCTAAGTCTCTTGATTTACCTATTGCCCCTAGAAACACCTTGGTCATGTTTTCCATCCTGTTTCAAGATTCGTATCATATAATACTCTGTTTATTAAGTTTCATGCTTTCACCTCTAACCTTGATAGTACAGAGTTTCAAAGATATTTAGGAGGCTGAAAATTTCCAAATGGAGAGAGGCAGTAATGGAGAAACGCGGGCACCGAAAAAAGAATGAAACTTGAGAGGTGGTTGATACCAAAGGGAAGAAACCATTGGCTAATAGGGGTGTTTACTATTAAATGCAAGGTTGATGGGATGAAGAAGTTATAAAGTGCCTGGTTGCAAAGGGATATAGAAATCTATGGAATTGATTACACAGAGACTGTTTGACTTGTGGCAAAGCTGAATACAGTTAGGGTTCTCTGTCTTAAGCAGCAATTTGGATTGGCCCTTTAGTAACTTGACATAAAGAATGCATTTCTGAGTGAAAATTAGAAGAAGAAGTCTTTATGACAATACCACCAGGTTTTTTGTAAAGGGGGTGAAGAAAACGGGTGTGTAACTCAAGAAGTCCTTTACGATCTCAAACAATCACCAAGAGCATGGTTGATAGATTCACAAGGTGATAAAGAATAAGGATATCACCAAGGGCTAAGATCTACATATGTTTTTCCAGCCAACTGGAGATGTACACTTTAACTCTTTTTAACTCATATTATAACCATCATTTCCCATTTTGCCCTTGCTCTTCCTTGGAAATTCCATCCATATCCTTTGATTATTTGCAAATACACCCTTATTACCAACACATTCTCAACTTAATTCCCTTACATTTTACTCCCCACTATTCCTACTAATTAGGGGTAGAATGGTCATTATGCCCCAAAGGAAGAATTCTCTAGAAAACTCAAGAAACTTTTCAACTGGCTCGTCGCCGCGGCGAAGAAACTTCCGTCACCTCGGCAAAAAGTTACAGAGTCGACACCGCCTTACTCAAGCCAACGTCGCCGCGGCGAAGACTATTCTTCGCCTCGACGAAGACTGAACTTCTAAGAGTCCTCAAAACTCAACTAATTTCAAAGCAAACATTCAACCAACTCAACATACAAACTCAATTAAAACCAAACCAAAGAATACAGCAAATCTTAACTACGTACCTCAAGCGGGGCGTTACAATTGTCCCCCCCTTAAAAGAATTTCGTCCTCGAAATTCACATGAATAACTCCGGAATGCGAATTTGCATGTCTCGTTCTACCTCCCATGTCGCTTCTTCTACCTTGTGATTCCTCCCAAGGATCTTCACTAGCGGAATACTCTTGTTTCGGAGTTCTTTAATCCTTCGATCTAGAATTTGTACTAGACGTTCCTCATACACAAGGTTCTCTGTTAA